GTGGGGGTGGAAGTAGTCAAGGCGCAGAAAAAGTCGTGAATCGGCTTTTGTCCTCGAGTTGGCACTCTTTGCTTTGGGGGCGGGTGGTGCTGCCTTTTTTGTCGATGGCCCAGCGCTACTGACTAGGCCTGCCCGAGCTACGGTGGCCCAAGTTGTCTTTGGGGCCGGAGCCTGGATTGTTGGAGGGTTAGGAACCCTTATTTCTGGTGCCCTCGGCGGAAGAGGGTTGGCGGGGCGAGCAGGGAGAGCTGGTGGTGTGCTCCCTGGGCCAGATTGTACGAACTGGCCGATGGCTGCTCGAAGATAGACTTTTATACCGTCTACAAATTCTTTATTATCGCCAATCGAAAGAGGCGAAAGTGCTGCTTCGACACCGCTGATTGCAGTCGAGCAGATTGCGAGTCGGGCGTTTATTTGCGTCGTACGTCGCTTTTCGGCCTCCATCACGGTTTGCAGCTCTGGTGGAAATTCCATTGCTGATGTCGATGCTGCGCCTTTAGAGGCTGGCACAGCATTGTTTCCTGCAGATGATTCTGCACGTTCGGTTGTCTTTTCTCGAACAACTTCCTTTCCTTTCCTGGAGCTGCTTGCCAAAGGGGGCAGTTCTACGGGGGTTTTGGTCTTGGGACCATTGTTTTCTGCTCTGATCGGTTCAGAATCAGTCATCTCTTGATCGGGAAGATTTGTGAACTTCCCTGGGACAAAGGCCTCACTCGCAAATAGGCTTGATAATTTTTGCGCGAGGCCAGTAGGTTTTGGACACAATGGTGTCCGTTCAAAGCCGGCTGAAGTTGTCGGCTTTGGGCGATTTTTTCTCACCGGAGGCATTTTAAATACAACGCGACAGTTAACAATTCGAGAAGTCAAGCACAGAAGTGATCATAGGAATGGAAAAAGTGAAATAGGGAATTTTCGAATTTTCGAATTTCTCGAAATGTGCGTTTGTTTGTTCATTAACGTGCTAGGTGAAGTAACTACCGTCGCGCTCCTACTGGAGCTTGAGCACGAGTGGGGGCGGGCCGGATCAGGTTAACTACCGTAAAGTACAAGTGCCTCGTCCCACCTCAATGACCGGAACCATGCCGAAACGCATCTATGTGTTGAAGCATGACGAGTACAGCAGCCCAGAGTTGAAAACAAAACAAAAGAAAACTTCCACGCAAAGTCCTGCAATACAAAAGAAAAAACTTTGACAATCTCCCTTCCATCGTTCCGCCTCGGTCACCACGCGCCCGAGCCTCGATTCCTATCCCTACTTCCATGCCAGATCACCTAGGCTTTCGTTCATCACCTCCGAGTCACAGGTATCCCTGCCATCCCCCGGCTAGCCTCCGCGTATATTCCGCTCTCCTGGACATAGTCCCTGAACAGTTGCCACCCGCTTGATCCGAGCATTGTTTCTATAGCTGGCGCCCTTCGCCTTCCGCTTTTCAGCCGCCATGTTGCCAGTGCTTTTCGACACTGAACAAGGTGACTGATTGATTTTTCTCTCCCACACTCGCAGTGAAGTGTAGCGTCAGTGTGGTTGAAGCGGCGATGATAAGCCGCGAAGTCCCCATGTCCGGTTCGAGCGGCTATTAAGCGAGCGTAGACTGCCCTTGGTATTTTTTTTTTTTTTAATTCATTGTGTATGCAGCACTAGAGCTATGACACTTCTATCTAATTAAATGTTCTAAATTACAGTTGTCCTTTATCAGGTACATTTTTCTCAAATTTATTTTATTCATTTTATATCCATTTGTGCAAATTATGTTACTTCATTCCAGGCACAACCTCTTGTGTATTCCTACATGAAATTAAGCTGTCCCCTATTTTTGGTAAATTAATACAGTTACTTGATTTAATAAATTTTAATAGCTTTTCTCTCCCACCCTTGGTATTTAGTAACAAACTGAGGCTGCATGGCACAACATCTGAAAGCTCTTCTTTTCTTTGGGCTTTGAATTTTGGGCACTGAAATATAAGGTGGTGGCAGGTTTGCTTCTCTTTACCACAGAAGTTACAAATGTTACTGTGTGCTTTTCCAATTTTTTTGGTGTGTAAGAATGTTTCCAATACCAAATTTGACTTGAAAATATGCTGATCTGCCCTTGGTAGTGCTAGTTCTGGCGGTTTCTTGCGTCGCATCTCGAGTTCGAGGTCTGCATAATGTCTGGGGCGATTCGAATGCCACCAGTCTGTAACCATCTGTCTGGCCAGTTCGCGAGCTTTCCTTCCGGAAGAGGCGAGGGTCATCACCCCATGTGTCGTCCTCGTATCGTCCGACGAGTTAAGCTCTCTTCGAGCGAGCTCATCAGCCATTTCATTTCCTACCAGCCCTTCGTGGCCCGGAATCCATCCTACTTTAACAGGTGCTGCTGCTCTAGCGACCATTTTGCAGAACTTTTGAATCCTCCAGGATGATGAGCCTGTTGTTCCCGTTAGTGAGGCCTGGACAGCCGCAGAATTGTCGAGCAGAATATAGATGGCGCTACGACCACGATCTCGCTTCCTGCTAGTGATTGCTTCAAGAGCAGCTAGAGCTCCATGAACCTCCGCGTCGTAGACCTCCGCATTGGTTATTTTGCCTGAGCCGCTTTGCTCAATTACCCTGCCTGTGCCACTGATAAAAGTCACAAAGGCCCATGACACTTTGTCGGTGGACGCCCCAGAGCCATCACTGTACACGCAAAGACAGTCGGGTGGGAGAGTAGGTAGGCGACAATGTCTTTATCTATCTACAGGTAAATTCCCCGTATTCTAACCACGCTAGCCATATAGGACCTAGCATGTAAAACTTGATTCGTATCATCATTTTGGGGTTGAGGTTCACCGTGTATTTTGCTACATGAGTCGCATGTCTGACTACTTTCCGACACACTTAGGCATCAATCTAATAACCCACACCAAACCGAAACTACTCAAAATCCTGATGATGACCCCATGAATAGGAGGGCAAGACTGAACACCTGTACGCGGTATCTTCTACGAACCCGAGAATAAAATATTCTCCCAGAGCCAAGTTCAGTCAAATTTCACAACATCGAAGAAGTTGGCCAAGGGGGCAATGATAAAATACCCTCTAACAAATCAATTTCTCCCACCCAACGAGATCAATCCATACCAAAACCTCATCTATTTTACAAGTAAGACTTAGTACATCCTCATGTTAATGACAAAATCTCTCGTTGACTTTTTCTGGCCTCAGCTAAACTCAAAATGCCCACGCCGATACTAACATTTGACTGAGGAAACAAAGCGTGGCGCACAAATCTGAGACACAGTTCTTTGGGGTGGACGTGGGAGTGATCAGGTCAAGTTTACAAGATGATGTAGAGGATGGATACAGTCTCGATACGCGTGAAACTTCAATTTTTGGCAAGGAGTTTTTACAAATTTAGCTTTATGCGCGCCAAGACTTCGCTTTTGAGAATGAATCTGACACTATAAAACAAGCCAACGATGGGAATGCAAGACTGAACATCTATACGCGGTGTCTACTACGAACCTGGGAGTGAAATATTCTCCAAGAGCCAAGTTCAGTCAAATTTCGCAATATCAAAGAAGTTGGCCCACGAGGCAAATTTTCAAATTACTCCACCATTTCAATCTTTCACTCTCAAAGAGTCCGATTCTCAACTAAGCTTCATCAAGTCTACAAGTACGACCTAGTACATCCTTGTTTCAATGACCACACGTCTTGTTGACTTTCTCTGGCCTCAGCCGGTCACCAAATACACGCCCACGCCGATATTTATACCTGACGGAGGAAGCAAAGCGTAGAGCACAAATCTGGAAGATTGCTCTTTGGGATGGACGTGGGATGGACGTGAGAGGGATCAGGACAAGTTTACAAGATGATGCAGAAGAGGGAAACGTTATCGATGGGCGTAAAATTTCGAATTTTGGCAAAATTTTTATGAATTGGGCTTTGTGCGCGCCAAGACTTCGCTTGCGAGAGTGCAGCTGACATTATAAAAACAAGCCGACGATGGAAGGTGTTGTGGTCCGCCTCCTGGTGGTGTTCTCTGGTATAGTTTGAATAGCTTGGGCACCTACTCCACTTGGGAAGGAGACATCTCAGATTACATTTCGCGCGGAGAAAAGTCAGTTGATGATGGAGGCATGTCTGGAAAACTCAGGGTTTTTGAGACGTTCCCCTGGGGGAGTATTCACGGATGAGGGTTGACTTAAGTTGAAGAAAAAGCCACTATAATTTTGCAGTGATAATCCCAATTAGAATGGAAAAGATAAGTTGTATTTAAATAGTCTGTCCTACATAGTTATAAACTCAAAAAGGACATAAATGGATTATTATTATTTGCAGTGGTACTTGCAAATGAAATCCGAGGCATGAGTGCTCTTCCTTTATATTGAGTCATATTTTTTATAATTTTTCCCTAATTTGTGTCATAGCCAGAAAGCTACAGACGCAATTAAAATCTGACCCAAAAAAATAATAATTTGCTATATGGTCTCTTTTTTTTTAAATCATTGAATATGTGTTCAGCTATAGAGCTATGACACATGATCGGTGCTATGTATACATGTAGGATGACTCTTTTGACGTTAGAGACTCTCATTCTCTGTATTTCATTTGCAAATACCACTATGAGGTATGCTTGCTTACACAAACAGTCAGCCTTCCTCCGTTAGTACTCACTAAAGGAACGTTTCAAAACCTTTGATTATCCGGGCATATGTTACAGGCTGTAGTCATGTAGTCTAGAACCGGAATTTATCCGGTCCCTTGCCAAGCGCTAACACATTTGTGGTCAAGCGTTGTTATTGCTTATGTAAAGGGACGCCTTACGCGACGCGTTTTTTAAATTCATGAACATCTGTACATGGTATCCTTTTCTTTAGATAGAATATAAATTCTGTTTTGGGCACACGTTAGGTAGAAGCTTGTGTTCCGTCCTTTCACAGCATGCATTTGCCATCCATGTATACCAGCGCCGTGAGAAATATAGTTTAGTTTCTCCGGGTTCGAACCAGCAATCTCCTGTCTCGAGGGGGTTATGTGTCAAATCTATCCAGGCCTTACTTGTTTGTTTATTTTTGAACTTTCGTCCGTCGGTGCGCCAAGCTTGACTTAGGTCCCTACTACCCACAAAATTACCTAGAGGCATGGACGCCAGTGCTTACTGCCCTGGTGGCTTCGCCCTTGCTACTTCCTAACTAGGTTTGCAGGGCAATTCTCTAATTACATGATTGCGTGTAGCACAGTACCTGCACTTTTTTAGCCAGTCCCCGAGGCTCTTTACTCATTTGATATATAACAACCACTCTCGAGATACTACTAATAGATCTATTTATAAATACCGCACCATCCATCCATAATGCAAGGCTCAGATTTGGGGCAGAGTTTGTTATACTTAGGTTATGATTAGATATGGAATGATAAATAAGCTAGGGATAACAGAGAAGAGCAGAGGATGATAATCAGGGACTGAAGATATGAATAACTTAATTAATACAATTGATGGTACTACTGAGGTAGACAGGACTGATATATATACTGGCTATACACCCATGATACAGTAAAAAATCATTTAACCAGAATATTCCATAGTCACATTTCATTCCATTCTCTAACATCTTGTACTAGTAACAGAAAGCTCTTGGTGTTGATCGTGATAACGGTCGTGCAGGGACCATATGGACCCTGCATACTGCACTAGTAGATGGATATGCTATATCCCTGTAGATAGACAGGGATGGCCCATAGCGGCTCTGACGGTCATATCACAACTGAGTTGACAACACAACCAATTTTTTGGGCTGTGGTAAAGAACACAGGGATCCCTTCCGGCTCCACCGGTCTTGTACCCATAGCGGACCGGGAGCAGTAGCTTAGGACCTTAAAATTACAAACAAACAACTAATTTTTTGAAATACGAATTTTCGAATCCACACTTTTTTCCCGTCTCCCTCCCTCACGCGCTCGTCGCATTCTATCAAAAAATTGTGATCGAGTCACTGGCATTTTCACCATGCCACCTGTTCGAAAAAAGCGTCCCAACGCCAAGTTGGACAACACGAGAGTCCACCCGAGGGCTCTCGAGCAATTTCCTGGCCTTGCCCAGTCTCCGAAATGCGCGGAGATGAGCAAGGTCTCCATCAAAGGGAAGGAAAAAGCCCTCCCCGCCGTCACTAAACCCGATACTGACATGATCGGGTCAGTCGAAATTGTTGGGGAAATTCCTCAACCATCCTCCGTCCCCCACGGGATTGGAGAATCGTCAAAATCTCCTCTGACCGCATCAAAACCGTCGGAAAACGCTGCACCCATATCAGCGCCAAAATTAACGCCGCAGCCAAAAGTTGCCACGAAAGCAGAGTGTCCCCTCGAGCTCCGACCAATAGTCGAAGCTGAACAACGACGCGCCGCCGAAATAGCGGCAAATCTGGCCCTCTGCTCCGCCGCCATCTCTGGCGTCGAAGCCACCCTCCTCCCTTTGACCAACGGGTCAAATAGACAACTCGTAGACTCCATGAGAGTATACCTACGCGCCACCATTGCGCAATACATGGCCACGGGCCCGGCCACTACGCCACCCGTCCTCCCTCCACGCCCGACAAACCCTCTCCCAAGGGCTCCCGACGCCAGGAGACAAACAATACCCACCGTCCCAGCTCTGCCTGTCAAAAGCACCTGGGCCACGGTGGCCAGACACGGACTGCAACAAAAAGCAGGCCGAACTGTGAATGCTGTGCCGCGACCTGCGGCCAAAGCCCAACAAAAAGAAAACCCCAAGGCGAAAGTCGACAAGCGACTGTTCCTTCGCCTTGAAAAGGACCACCCGTGGCGAAAATTGTCCACAAGCAGCGTGAGAACTAAGTTAGAGTATACATTCAGCTACTTTAACCAAGAAATAACCTCACTCCACCGAGTGAGAACGGGCTTTGCTATGCTAGCAAAGAACGAAAAAACACGACAAGGGACTTTAGATGGCTCTTCGAAGCTGGCCAGTCATAACGTCAAACTCGAGGCATCTTCGGATCTTGTCGCCTTACAGATACCGAACGTACCTGTAAGTATAGTTACAGTGTGCGGTACCAGGGCGGTCGATGCTAGCTGGGTCTCTGCCAAGATTCTCGGTACGACCGGCGCGATTCCAATCCAGGTCCGACCTCATAGGACATGTCGACCTGGGGCACCGTATCAAAACTGGCATGCCCTTTTCACGCGGGACAACGCCCCTCGTGCGGGCTTCCGCCTCTTCGACGAGTCTGGTAAGGCTACCATTCACAAGCCTCGTCGACAAATTGAACAGTGTAAACGCTGTTTGGGCTTCCACGCCACTCGTGGTTGCTCCCGCGCTCCAGCCTGCTGGAACTGCGGCTCCAACATGCACTCGGCTTCCGAGTGCAAGGCCCTCACAAAATGTCGCAACTGTGGGGGACCCCACCGATCGGATTCTCGGGACTGCAAAGTCAGACCCAGAAAGTCTAGGCCGGTGACAAAAGAGCAGCTCGCATGGATACGCCACCTCGAGCAAGGGAAGTTCGCGGAGGCGGCTCGAGCTAGGGCTGCAGCCAAAAAGGCCGAAGAGGCGATCGTCGCCGCGGCGAAGGATACCGCAATGGCCGAGGCAACATGTTTCGGAGTGCTGGGACCTGAAGAAGAAGTTTGAGGACACAGCAACCTCGACGATGTCCCTTTCTGGGGCATCTACTAACAATTAGCAGGATACCGGCTGGATCAAAGGTGCCTGCTAACTCATCTACTGCTCTCAGCGGAGATTAAGTAAATTTGTCATTTGGAAGGTGTGACGGACGAGGAAATGTGTGAGGAGCACATTGACTGGGTCCAACATGGAGGAATCTTCTGGTTTTTTCGGAGTTGTTTTGGTTTTCTTGATTTTTCGTTTCTGCTTAATCAGCTGCACTTTTGGTAGCGATTCACGAGGTTGGAACGAGTTAGGCTGTAGGAAAGATTACAGGGAACCATGCCGGCTCCGCCTGTCCTTGACTCAATGTGGAAAACATAGCTTTAGCTTAGGACAATATAAGCAAAACAAAAAAAAACAACAGAGTTGAAGACCTATTTATTTCTTCTCTGGGGTTTCTAGGGCAGGTCTTTATGTGAAACTCTGAAATAGAAAGCCACTTTGCTACACGTAGGGCCCCTTCCCAGGTTCCTAGCAAAAATTTCTTTGGGTCCCTTGAAGATGCTGGAGCTCGAGGAGGTCTATGAGTGGTTAGGTGGCACTATAGGAAGTGCAATGGGGCTTTGAGCTGTTCGCAGCCACAATGAAGGTTAGCGCCCTCGTGATTGAAACGGCGGTGGTACTCTGCAAAGTCACCATGTCCTGAGCAGGCAGCGTATAGTCTAGAGACAAATGGTCTGGCTAGTGTGAGTTCCTTAGGGTTACGAGAGTATGAGTCAATGGCAAGCTCCCTGTAGGGTACTGGGGCATGTCGGTCCCAGTAGTCTTTCATAGCCGTCGATACTTCTGCCTTGATGCGATTTTTCGCGGTATCAAAAGAAACGTACCCACGGGGTATAGGCGGGGTTTTTGAAAGCCCTTCCCGGGCAGAGGCGTCGGCCAAAACATTACCCAGTATATCAGAGTGGCTTGGGATCCAATAAGCCTGTGATGGGCGATCAACAAAACAATATAGTAAAGGAATGGTGGCCGATTACTGTCTATTTTCTACATACATCTCGGAACTGTCCACCGAGGGGATGCTACTTAAGGTGTCCCAACTCCCAATGCGCTAACCTCACTATCTATTCTACTACATCATATCCTTGATATTCCGAGTGGGCTCGTCATAGCGAATCTGGGTCGTATCGGCCCATGATTCCATATGAGACTTGCTGCAACAATATCTTGTTTCCATATTTGTTGCAACCCTGTATTTGTATGGCCAAGTTGGACATCTCTCTAGATAGCAAGGCTAATGACGTAATAATGATAAGTGTCCGTGCGACAGTCACTAGGAGATAGGCGCAGCCTGTAACATTATCCCCTCCTCACAGTACTTTTTTCTTTTTCTTTTTTTTTACTCGTTTCTTTTTTTCAGGTGTAAAAATTTTTTGCCTTTTGCCAGTAACACCTATTCTTGCCCCGACATCTTCTCCCACGTCATCACCAACACCGTACCTTTCTTCAAAGATATCAAGAGCCTCCGTGTCTTCGAGACCTTGGCGCAATTCCCAGTTTGGCTCTTGAAAACCTCTCCACTTTACCAACACCTCCCTTCGGAAGCCCCGACCTTTCTTTCTCTTTTCGGCTCTGAGAATCTTTTCAACGAATTGCTCATTGTCACCATCAGGATTCACAAGCGGCGGTGGTTGCTCGTCTAACATAATTTGAGACGGAAGGGGGTTTTGTGGATCTCGTTTTAACAAATCGACGTGAAATCTCGGATGTATACCCGATGGGACATCAAGTTCGACTACATGAGGGGATATAACTTTGAGGACGCGATATTTTGCGTTAACCCATGAGAGCTTTTTACTAAGTTGTGGCGTCTCAATATTTTTTAGTTTTAACCAAACAAGGTCTCCCTCTTCAAACCTCTCTTGCGGAAGCCTCTTTTGATTAGATGCTGATTCCATTCGTTGTTGGACAAATGCCATGGAAGCTTGTGCATATTCCTGTCCATCTGTTATTCGCTGTACAAATTCCCTGGCTTTCTTTTCAGGTGCATCGGAATTTTTGGAAGGGGGCGGGATTTGTTCGATAGGTTCTGCGTGATAACCGTGTGTGAGGAAAAAAGGACTAAGACCGATGACTGTGTCTCTATTATTAAGAGCTAGCATAGCTGACGGAAGCATATCAGGCCATTCGTACTGAGCGTAGGATATAAAAGATCTAAGGTATGCCAACACTTCCTGATTCATCCTCTCTGTACTTCCATCCGTTTCAGGATGAAACGCCGTGGAAAGACGCTGCTCTATACCTACTAACTTACATAGATGGGTCCAGAAATTTCCAACCCAATTTGAACCACGATCAGAAGTTAAAAATAATGGAAATCCATGAAAACGATAGTGACAGTGTAAAAACCGCTCAGCACAGCATTCTGCTGACATTGAGCTCATAGCTTCAAGGGTGCAACTTTTCAATAGTCGGTCTGTAATCACCATGAGATATCGAGAATCTTGTCTAGATTTTGCTGGCAGATCCGTCATAAAGTCGATTGACAATTCTGAATGGAAACGACTAG